CAGCCTCCTGCATCTCCTCTGAGACTACAGAGCCTCCAGGTAACCCCAGATTGTCTCCTCCTCAGGATCAGAGTCTGACTCTGACTCTATAGCAAAGTCAGACCCAGGGCAGTCCATGACAGAAACCAAAATGGTGGAAGGTCCAGAAACCACCCAACCCTATGAAGAGCAGTTTAGGGAGCTGGAGATGTTTAGCCTAGAGAAGAGAAGATTAAAGGGTGACATGATAGCCTTGCTTAAATATTTGAAGAGGTTTCATATTGAGGGTGGAACAAGCTTGTTTTCTGCTGCTCCAAAGAATAGGACCCGGAGCAATGGAATCAAGCTACAGGAGAAGGGATTCCACCTAAAGACTAGGAAGAACTTCCAGACAATAAGAGCTGTTCAACAGTGGAAGACACTGCTTTGGAGAGTTGTAGCATCTCCTTCTTTGGAGATTTTTAAACAGAGGCGGGATGGCCATTGGTTGGGCTTTGATGGTGTCTTCCTGCATGATGGGTTGGACGATGGCCCTTGAGATCCCTTCCAACTCTAGGATCCTATGATTCTATGTGAATCGCCCAGCCCTGCATGAATAGCCCCTCCATACCGTCTGAACTGAGAACAAAAAGAACAAAATGCAGGCCTATGACTAACATCTTCAATTTTTAATTTTTTATCTCCTGTATGGCTTTTAACACCTTGCCTGATATTTGACATTACTGCAATGCTAGAAGTTGGGGACTAAAGGAAAATTTCACGGAGAGGGGATTATTATTCAGGAGGAGCAATACTCTTATTTTGCCCCCTGCACTTCTGGGAAAGGAGATCCCATTGACATTCCTAGGCACATCCCCTGAACTAAGCCATTTTCATAGCAAACCTCTCTTTTTGTTGTTTCTGTCATGAGATAAGCGCTGGCAGTTGTGAATACAACATTTTGTGCCTCTCCAATTATGTCCCGTCTCCACCAGAACAAAGCAGAACACTGATCAGCGCGGCTGCAAGACGCCATCATTAGAAAGCATCGCTCCAAGGGCTGATCTGAGTGCGAGATCTGTGTCAACACGCTGGAAACTGGGGCCCTGAGCTGCAGAAGGCAGGATGAATCCCACAGTCTGGATAGCAATTAACAAGGCTGTGCATTCATTAGGAACTAAAAGGCCGCCAAAAGGCCTCATCTCCCCCAACAGTGTCAGTCCCATAAATGGGGTGATTTTAAGAAGCCAATTAACTCCCAAAGACTCCCTGGTTCCCTCCATCTGGGTCAATATATCCTCATTTGAGTTAATGAAAAGTACATTGGTTTGGAAACAAGGTACGAGGCAGTGAGCATCCGGAGATGGCGTTCCATGCCGGATGGAAATTAGCCACTTAATAGTCCCAAACTACTGGCAGCAATAGCCTGACTAATTTATAATCTGCTTTTTAGAAACCACTGCCTGCTCCGTTAGTGCCTGGAAAGGTTGCCCTCTCTGAAAAGTGAAAGGATTAGAATGGGTCATGATCACAGCTGATCGATCCAATCGATCAGATTCCTAATATATTTAAGAAGCATTTGAGAGATCTAATTAAGTCACTGTCGGGTCTAGGGTGGCTCATTGTTCCCCTCCTTTATTTTCTGGGGCTGGGGATTGAAAAGAATACAGCTTCCTATGAACAGTCTAA